GTCTCCCTGCGCATGTATGTATGCATGTGGTTCTCATTACGTGGCTTGACCTGTTCTCGCATCAAGACCAAAAATTCGCTCATAGCTGAATCACAACCTTGCCAAAGTTCTTCTGCTGCCACTGGTATTCGTAAGCCTCGTGCGCATCCTTGAAGCTAAACATCTTCTCGTCCACCACCGGGTGAATGTTGTTCGCGTCAATGCACCGGTTCATCTCGATCAGTTGCGCCTTGGATCCTATCAAGATGCCCCGAATGATGCAGGCTGCAGACAGGGCCGCCAGCGTGCTGGGTTCGTCCTCCGCTTTGGGGCCACCTAGGAATCCGATCACGGAAATCACACCTTCGGGTTTGATGGCTAGATAGGTGTCAGAAGACGTTGTACATGGGAGACAAATAATGAACGCACCTTTGAGGGACTGAGCCATCGAGCCAGGCCCGCCAACCTCAATAATATGGTCCACACCCACTTTACCAGGCGAAAGGCTCTTCGCCGTCTCCCCCCAATTCGGGTCCTTCTTGTAATTGATGACAATGTCGGCTCCCAGCTTTTCCAAACGCTTGGCCTTCTCCTCTGACGACGTTGTCGCAATGACTGTCGCCCCAGAAGCTTTGGCGAACTGAAGGGCCGAAAGCGACACACCGCCTGTTCCCTGAGTGAGAACCACGTCTCCAGGTTTCAAGGCTCGAGACTGAAGGCCAAAAAGGGCATTCCACGACGTGAGGGGCGCACAAGTCAAGGTCCCCGCCTCAGTTGGAGTAAGGTTGGACGGTGCATGCACGAGACCCGAAGCTGGGAAGACGGCATACTTGCGTAGACAACCATGGGCAGTGCCACCCAAGGCCGTGCTCATCATGTCCGCCGTAACAGGTCCATATTGGTGCGCTTGGGTGAACTGAGTGACGACCTTGTCACCTTCTCCGAACTGCGTGACTTTGGAGCCCACGGCGAGGATTTTGCCTGCACCATCCGAGGCCGCAACACAGGGGATATTGAGCGGCAATGGATAGAGGCCCTGTATACCATGTCTCAATTTCGGGTCTCGTAGAGGTAATGCGCTTTACCTTTGGGATGATCAGGTCTCGATAGTTGAGAGAAACTGCTTGAATCTGGACCAAGCAATCGTTCTCGCCCAGTTCTTGGACAGGGTAGTCCTCGACATACTTGAGGTTTCCCCACCCTGGTGTGTCGGCTTTGGTGGATTCAATGACCCAGGCAGGGGTAGTCTTGGGAAGGGACATGTTGGATGTGGTTTGGTGGAAGTATTCACAGAGCAGCACTGGGAATTTGAGAGATGACAAGACCGTATAAACTAGGTTCAAGGTCGAGATTGATTTTTTGAGGAGACTACAGGAAAGCCACATGCAAATCTGGGACCTATATATGAAGTCACGCAAGTCGTTTTACATACCTTTTATATGCTCCACTTGTACAAAACCTCAATGACCAAGGTCGCTGCTTATCTCCGGACAGAAGGGGTGTGAATGGTTGGATGTTCGGTAGAGCTCGGGATACCAGCTAAGTCGCTTAGGGTCTGCTCATTGCCTAAACGGTGGGGTTAAATCGTCCGTTTGTTTCTGTCGGATGAATTTCCTAATGTCGTGGTAATATTGACGTTTCCGTGTCCCGCGCAACGCTGCTTGGAAAGATATGGGGCTAAAGCCATATCTGCATGACAAACCCAAGTCGTGTCATGAAATCGTTCTCTGGGGCCTCTAGCCCTCAAAATCCGCCGAGCACAAGGCGTTCCATAGAAGCTGCATGTTTCTCCAACGGGCAGAGCGTCTCGGCGTTGTCGCTAGTGGAGTTAATCGATATCTAGAAGAGGATTCAGAATTTATCAGCAGACAAAAGAGACAGGTTTAAACTCCATGATTTATAAGGTGTGGCAACCTGGTCGTTGATGGTCGTGAGATTGTGGTAATTTTTGGGTTGTGGTTGGCAGAAGTGAATACGGCGAGGTATCATGCATGAAGTGCAGAACATACGGTGAGATATCTCTCCCACAAACGTTCTTCCCTTTCGGAGTTTAGGGCAACGCACGAAAATCTTGGCGAATTCCCAGAAATTGCGGATTGGGAGCCCCGATCACTGTCCACACACACATCGTAAGGCTTTCAATTACTACCACCACCAACCTTCAAACCTCTGGGACAACTAGATTGCGAATCGCTTGACACCTCTCAAGTCGCAATCATGTCTCAACCTGCCCTCAACAAGATCGCCCACAACAGCCCCTCGAGGCAACACCCTTCCGAGTTGGAAACCAGCATCGCAACCGCTCTCTATGAACTCGAGACCAACATCCCAGACCTCAAGGTCGCTTTGAGACCGCTCCAATTTGTCTCTGCTCGCGAGGTATGAGTGCCTGTGTATTCTACGGGAATTTACCCTGCTACAAAGCCCTGGAGACCGAGAGATAAAAGGCATCAAAAGCTAACGAGATTTTTCTGTCCATTCAGCTCGAAGTCGGCCACGGCAAGCGCGCCATCGTTGTCTTCGTCCCCGTCCCCCTGCTCGCAGGCTTCCACAAGGTCCAACAACGTCTGACCCGTGAACTCGAGAAGAAATTCTCTGACCGCCACGTCTTGATCCTCGCCTCGCGACGCATCCTTCCCCGCCCCAAGCGCTCCAACCGCTCTCGCACCAGCCAGACCCAGAAGCGTCCCCGAAGCCGCACTCTGACTGCCGTCCACGACGCCATCCTCGCCGATGTTGTCTACCCCGTTGAGATTGTGGGCAAGAGATTGAGGACCAAAGAGGACGGAAGCAAGGTGTTGAAGGTCATTCTGGATGAGAAGGAGCGGGGTGGTGTGGATTACAGACTCGACACCTACTCCGAGGTGTACCGAAAATTGACTGGACGGGTTTGCGGCTTCGAGTTCCCCATGAGCAGCGCAACCGACTTCTAGACGACATGTGGGGTGTAGCAAGATCGGAAAAATGCAGAAGGACGGGCTGGTGACATGGCTATGATATGAGAGAGACTAAAGTGCGCAGATGCCTTTGGGCAGAGGCCAGCCAGTCTATTTCCACCCTTCCTGAAGTCTCGTTGTATGGGTGAAACGGATCTCTGTGGTATGCTACAGGGAGCATTGTGGCTTGGTTCGAGCCAAAAATGGAGTGCCTTTCAAATGAGGATTGAAGCCTGAAGCAAACTGCCTAGCAGACATTTTTCAAGCGGCGATTAGACGACAAAATATTGGTTCAAACTGCCCATGTGCCCTTTTTTCATCGGCTTTTGTACAGCATTACTGCTACATGAATTCTCCCCCACCCAGTATGTCCTTCATGTTGACATTTCCACTCCCTCTTTCGAGAGGCTGTGGCTGTCCTTTACTAGCCTTCCACCCAATCATGTAGATCACTCTAAAGGTAGCCGGTATCCTGTCTTTTTCGCCCTCTTCACAGTGCAATTCCCTGTATATGGCTTCATTTGCCAGCAACACATCCCGACTGATGGGACCGCCCATAGATTTGAGAATCGCATTTCCTTCGCCCATGGCTTGGATGTCCGTCATCAAGGCGAATGTGTCGGGATACTCAACTATTATATCGTCGACATCGACCGTCAGAAGCTTGAATCCAGCTCGACCAAGCAGGTTCCCCACGTCTCTGACATCTGCCAAAGGTGATATATGGGGCGAAACACCGCCATGGCGCTCCAGGTCGGCTAGTTGTAGCGATGAGCGTAATTCGTAGAGGGTGTCTCCGCCAAACATGGCTGCTAAGAAGGGGGCATCAGGTTTGAGAACGTTGTTTATGCTTGATAACACCGAGGGGAGGTCGTTGATCCAATGGAGGGACAAAGAGGAGAGAACAGCATCGAAAGTGTTGGCTTCGTAAGGAAGGGTCTCAAGGGAAGGGAGGACTTCTTGAGTGATTGGAACGGCGGGTTCAGGGAGTGAATCGTCGCGATGGAGGGCGGTGGGAGAGGTGTCTGCGCAGGTGAGGTGTTCTATCCGTTCCGACAGAGGAACCTTGGCTTCTGCTGCTCCTTCTGGCAGTTCTGGCGCAATTAGAGGCGGCTTAGAGAGCGCTCGTGCAATGTTGCAGCTGTTGGCACCCAAGTCGAGTACACGGGGAAACCGACGGTTGATGTCGAGTAGACGGTCGACGAGTCGCTGGGCCACTTCGTCCTTCAGATAATCGACCTTGCGGCTGTATTCTGCGTTTGCTGCCGCCCGTTCTTTCTGGAGGTACTTCACGTTCTCATTGAAGACCTGAAGAGTTGGGCCACCAGGCGACTGTATAGCGTAAGGCCTGCGGAAGCAAGGACGCCGTCGTAGAGCTGAAGTAGGAAGCCACGGCCGCAGCGCAGGAGGCTTCATTGTGGGATATCTCTGGTACCGTAGCCCAGATCACCAGTTAAGTAGACATTGGGGAGTGATAATATCGTTCGTTCTCGTCCTGGTTCATCTGCAGCATGATGTCAATATCTGCGCCCATTGTGCATCGTAGCGGGAAGGTCAGCCGCGACCGCGTCCGACCGCGTCCATTTCGACAGCAAAGACAAGGCCTCGAATAAAGGACGGAGAGAAGGTAAGTCAATGATCTTTATCGTTCGAAACAAATCTTATTGTCGCAGAATGATATGCTCTCACATGAAGTGGTGGCAGTTTTGAGCGCAGAACGGGACCCAAACCTGCGCCATGACAACAACATTCCCTTACACTTTCGTCTCTTGCCCCTGTTCAGATGCATCCAATAGAGCCTTGAAGTCGAAGCGATCCTCCCGCGATGTCGACTTTGAGGGAGTTCAAGACGGTGAAGAGACCTTTGATCCGCGACACCCGCGTTCTGCCTTCTCACTGTTTCCCCCTGAGCACTTGTTGTACTGCGAAGAATGCCACGAGATCAAATGCCCTCGTTGCGTGACCGAGGAGATCAATGCGACTTACTGTCCAGACTGTCTCTTTGAGAGTCCTAGGGTAATGGTTAGGGGTGAAGGGAATAGATGTCCTCGAAACTGCTTTCATTGCCCCATATGCACGTCCCAGATGATCACCACTTCCATCGGCGACCCAAAAGACGGACCATTCATCCTCAACTGCAACTATTGCATGTGGAGCACCCTCGATGTTGGTATCAAGCTTGACAAACCGACCGGCGTCCGCGGCCAGCTTGATGAAATTGCAAATGGAGGCAAACGCAGGCCTTCGGCTTTGAAATCACCACCACACCATGATGAACCCGCACGCAAATCATCGCTTTCACGACAACCTTTATTGCCGGAAGAAATAGGAGAGGCCGTGGAAGCCAGAGAGCCAACCGAGTCACAGCCATCTCTGGATTCAACGGCGAGGTTCAGCGCCCTGAAGACATTCTACAAGGACCAAATTGCCGAATCTTCAGCAATGGATGCGGGCTTTCCCACTTCAGCGTTGGACATGGCCTACTCGTCCCCATCGTCACTCCAACGTATCATGAACATCTATACCAACAGAGAGAACTCGCTTAAACGGGCTCGACAGAAGCTTACGATCATGCGAGAAGCTCGCGCAGCGGGCGAAGGACTCAAACTGTACGACCCACAAAGTGCCACGCCTTGCGAATACGACGAGACCACAACCATGGCACAAAGAACCTCTCAAAACCCTTCCTTTATTGGCAATCCTCGAGCGCGCACAGTCTCAGATCTCAGACCGATGCCCACACTTATGCGTACCAAACGATCCAAACGCTGTGCGACCTGCAAACACATCCTCACCCGACCCGAGCTGAAGATATCGTCTGCACGATACCGCATCAAGCTGATTGCACTCAGCTATATCCCCTTTGTGACCATAAAGCCGCTTCCAGTCCCGGGTGGCTTGTCTCCTCCTGGACCAGATGGAAGTGACATTGTCCTTGCAGCTGGGAAGCCTGTCCAGTTTATCATGACACTGCGCAATCCGCTGTTTGACGACGTCAATGTCAGCTTGGGAAGCCCCAGCGTGACACCGGGAAAGCATGGACATCGAGTCACCATCTTGTGCCCTCAGTTTCAGATCGGGAAGAATAGCGACGCTTGGGACGACGCACTGAACAAGCCTCCAACTCAAGCAGTAGGAGGTGCCAATACCGCTGGTGGAGAACAAATCGCTGGCAAATTGTATGACCAGGGCCGCAACTGGGCGAGCGTAGTAATTGAGGTTATCCCTGCGAGCATTTTGAGAGGCGTGAGCGAGGATCTGGACGGAGATGAGGACGTCATCGAGATTCCTATCAGAGTCAGGCTGGAATGGACCGTCACCGAGGACGAGACTGCGGGTATTGTGGAAAGAAGGAAACGGGATAGGGACAAGGTGCTCGAAGACGGGGAGGACGCGGATGATGGGAAGAGAGAGTTGAGTTACTGGATGGTCCTTGGTATTGGGAGAGTGGACTGTTGATGGGAAAATCCCCTGTTGATAGCAGCCAGGTCTCGGAGAGATACCCTGTCCTGGAATTACCCATTATGTTGAGCACCGTGCCATTCGTCTATCTTTGACATCTGCCCAGGGATGTCTTTCCATTTCAGCAGACCACCCGCCAGTACGACCGGCCCATGAACTCCTCGATGTTATAGGAGAGTGTGGAAGATTAGACCCGCTTGTTGGCATGTATTTATACCGTCCGTCGATCAGACATGACCCTCACAATCCCGCCCACGCCCACGACCTCCGTCAGCTTCTCATGCCAGCTCAGCAACACACTCATGACCTGACCACCTCCACCTTCTCCAAAGTTCCGCGATTGAATTTGACTGAACCCCGTCCCAGTCACCTGCGGACTCACTCCTTTGCCGCTACCGGTGCTGCTCCCACTGGCCATGCCCTTGTATATGTACTTCATCAGGGTATCTCCCAGCGCCGCGCCGCCCGGCTGTTTCAGCATCTCCGTCAATATCCGACTGACATCGCTCTGCCTGATGCCTTGCAGCACCTCCAAGACGGTGGTGAGGTGGACTTGCTTTGCGCCCTCGTCGCCAGCCAGAGGGGCGGTTTCCAGCGCCGACTGTAGAGCACCCAGGCTGTCCCCTGCCCGGAGGAGTTGCCGGATTTGTTGGCCTAGCTGTGCTGACTCGGAGGATGTGGAGGGTGCGGGTAGGTTGGCAGGGAGGAGGGTGGAAAGGGGAAAGTTCAACGCAGAGTCCGGGTCGTAGGCGTCGACGTTTATCGTGCGCCAGTTTATGTTGGCCATCGTGGAGGGGGACGGGTGCAGTCCTGCTGCTTATGCCTGGTTGTTGGCGGGGGAGTGATGCGGGACTGGGATATGTCGACGGCTGTTAGCCTGAGAAGACGGGAACAAAGTACGATTTCTCAGATTGTGGCGTCGATGATATGATTCAGGTCTGACGAAGTTACAGGAAGAGATTGTAGTGTAGTTGCGTGGCCGAGAAATTCAATGCAAGAGGCTGTCAAGCAGCAATGCGGGACAAGAGCAGGACGAGTACGAGATACTTAGTGAATTGCCCGCTGCGGTTACATAATATATGCCAAGACATTCCAAGGCTGGGCTGCAGCCTTGCGCTATTATACGAGGTTCTTAGTCCTGACTTGCTCGCAATACCCAACTCTGTCTCACGCTACAGGGTAGATCCTCTGTCTACCATTTCAATGCTTCTCACGCCTTTACAGCCTTTGGCAAGGCCTGGTTGAAACTGTCAATAGTCAGCATGGTCTCTAGGATCGGGTTTCACAAGTCGTACAATACGAAGCCTGGTCTCTCATCCTGTCCCGCCCTGTTAAGACCCCAGGCCTCAGAACTGTCATCGTGCACTGTGGTCCTCCTCAGATCTCGTCGGTATTTTCCCGCGAAAGAACCGCCTTCGGCACGATGCATAACACAGCTATATTTCGAATCAGCGTTTGCTGCGGGTTAGACGATGTTAAGGGGGGAAATGATTGAACTTACGTGTTGTCCCAGATGACCATGTCACCAGGATCGTTCCATGGAATACTGAGGGTATACTTGTCCTGCGTGGCGTGCGCCATAAGCTTGTCCATAAGCTCCTTCGACTTCTCTGGTGATACATCCACGATGTGGTCCAGATGGGCAGCAATGTACAAATTCATTCGACCTGACGGTTCATGCTTCTGCACAATACGATGCTTGTGCATCGGAAAATTGTTCACATCGACATCTTTGAAGTACTCCGGCGCCGCCTTCTTGCGCGACGAATAGAGGGAATGGGCACCGATATAATTCTTCTCCAGCAGCTCTGCCTTCAACTCAGGATCCAGTTCATCAAATGCCGTCCGCGTATCGGCAAATCCGGTATGGCCTCCGGTATTTGGTGGTGGCAGTTCGTGAGCTTTCAAGATCGAGTATGATGCCCTCCGGGGGTTGAACGACGAATCGACGTGATATAGGGCGTTACCCTTGTTGTATTGTGCGCGGGGACTATCTGGTGACAGAACAGTGTTCGTATCGGGGTCGATATTGCCGGCGTCAAAAAGCTCATAGTATTCATATCGTGGCTTTCTCCCGTTGGTCATGTACGGCCTGATATCGTCCAACTCTCCGAACCGGCGAGAAAACTCAACGTGTCCTTTGTCGTCAAGCCCGGTCTTTCGGAACACAATCACTCCATACTACGAAGCAGTCAGAGTCTTGTAAGCTGTGGCAAGGCAAATGGTCTCCATCCCAGGGACTTACCTTTGCAGAAGCTGCCAGGATCTCGCTGAAGACGTCGTCCGGAATTGGCTTGGAGAAATCAACACCTTCAATCTCGGCCGCGAATGTTGGATGCAGCTTCTTGATCTGGATCTTCTTGAATTCTGTGTCTGGAGTTAGGAGAAGGCCGGGCATCGTGGCGACAAACAAAGATTCCGAATTGCAAGCTTCACTGTCGAATCGGGGTTAGGAGCAGTTCAATGCGATTTAAGGGGGCTACGACGAGCTGGCACCGGGCAGGCCATCATTTTGTCTTATATCTTGTCGATCAGGACTGTAACGTTCCAGAGCAGACATTCGGCAATTCTCCGTTCATTTTCGATACATCTGCCGAAGCCCCATGTCCGCTTCTCATGACTTCTCGAGACGGTCAGCCTTGAGGTTCCCCACAGAAGACGCTGGACAAAGTGTGCGGGGAAAGATGGGAAGATCCATTGTTTCAAATGGAGGCAATGGAGAAGTGATACACCGAGACACTTCCTCCAACACCCACGAACGCCAGACCTTGCCTGAGATGCTCGGGGAAGTCCGACCCTGCCACTGTACTCCATATATAGGCACAGGATGCCTAGCCTTGGTGGGTTGAAGTGACTCGTGATCACCTGCTGCTGAGTACCACATATGCTTCTAGCTTTGACAATCAGATACCATTTCGGATGCCGGACCTCTGACGACTGCTCTGGTATGGTCTTTCATGCACCTGGGTGTGTTCTCTGTCATGCCGGTCGACGTGCATGTTTCCCTGTGGCCAACACTCTGTCATGACTCCTGTCGAGCAGATATTAGAGAGGTTGAACGACGGTCTGCATTCGAGGGGGACGACGTCTCGACATATGGGAATCATTCGGAAGACAGAGACAAAGTTCGCGCTATCGACATCATTAGTGACCAGGAAAATGATATTAACAATTCCCCCCCTCCCCCGGGGACGAGATCGAGATTGCTCAATTTGAGACATGCCTGGGATACGTTGTTCATATTTCCAACAGACAAGAATGGTCTGGGTGAGTTTGGGAGTTGAAGTTACTGGTAACACGGAACAAAGACAAAGATCAAGTCAAGTCACGCGGAACAATTCTCATCAAGATAGGAACTTTGATGTTCGTGGAAATCTTCACCAGATGTTTCAAGCGGCGGCAAACTTGGACTCTACTCAGAGTGAAGACAACTACCTGGACAAGATAAGCGACCATTTCCAGAATCCTCACTGGTAGGTTTGTCTCTCTCGCGTCTTCACCACAATGTCACCACCAAGATTCTGCACTTCTGTGTCGTTACTTGTTTTCTCAGTGACATGTTTCCCAGTGACACACCGTGAATTTTGCACAAGAAGTGAAGATGGACTGTCGGCCTGCCGCATATATATATATATATATATATATATATATATCCCATCTTGAATTTAACCTTACAATCTTTTCTCTCTCTTACATGGTTGGTGAGCTTTGAAGATCGACACTTGTCAGTCAGATGCTCATTACAAGTACTTGCTCGCGCACTGTCATGGTGCCTCTTATCAGTCTCGTTCTGCTCGGGTTTGTCGCGAGCCTGAGCAGCTCTGTTCACGCGGCGCAGCCTGGATCGAACATCAAGCGCGTCGATCTGGCAGGTGACTGTCCTACATGCAACCATGAGCCCCCTCATTTTGGTACGTGTTCCCATTCTTTTCAAAGTCGTCCATTAATGTTGGGACCAGGTCCGCACCCTTGGGGAGATTGGAGCATTACCACCACCTCAACAAGCAATTCTTCGGTTGCTGTTTCAACTCCTTCCTCAGAGCCTACTTATGGCGGCATCAACACCTCGTCAGTGCCTTGGGATCAGTCGTCCATGAGTGGATTTGGTCCTAGCACGTCTGTCTCGCAGGGTTCTTCCGCCTTCACCATGTCGGCTTCGACCTCACCTTCCTCCTCGTCGGACTCGTTGTCAACTGGCTCAATAAGTGCAGGGTTCACTCCATCTGGCAATATGTCTTCAATGCCGGGTCCTTCTAGCATACAATCACTCAGCAGTGTTCTCTCTACGTCAAGCGAGTCTCTGTCCAGTGTCTCTACGAATGGGACATCCGATACTCAGGCAGCCTCAGTTTTCCCTTCCACTGGCGGCTCTGCCTCTCAAGACTCATTGTCTGTGGTCTCTCAGTCAACTCAACATGAATCTCAGGCCACAATGTCTGTGATGAGTGCATCAAACTTTTCGCAACCTGTTGCACAATCAAGCATAAGTGAGCCCTTTCCTGCCAACAGCACCTCGAGCGTTGTTCCCCCTGTTGCAGACAACGGTACGTCGACTGTGGTTCCACCTTCACCCACCGAGGGCACATCAAGTATGGCTCCGTCTGTCCCTGCGAACAGCACCTCGAACGCGATTCCACCTGTTCCAGGTATCGATACTACGACTGTGGTTCCACCTTTACCTGCTAATGATACATCGACGTTGGCTTCATCTGTCCCTTCAGACAGCACATCGATCACGGTTCAACCTTCATCCGCTGATGGTACATCGAGCACGACTCCACCTGTCCATTCAGCCAGTACATTGACCATTTTTCCGCCTTTCCCTGCTAATGGAACGTCGAGCATCGTTCCATCCATGTCAAGCAATAGCAGCCCATCTGGAAGTACACTGGCTGGAAGTACAATGTCAGCACAAGGACCAGAGACCAACATGAGCTCATCGACTGTGAATTCAGTCCCTTTTGCTTTGACTTCAAATGTCACTGCTGCCTCTGAAATCAGGACTTCATTCACCAGTACGATTGATCTAAGTTCGACAACATTCGTGACTGTCATTCGAACTACAATCAGTATTGTGCAGGTTTCCTCAACAACACAGGATACTGGTTCCAGTACTGTGCCCGTGATTCCTGAGTCGTCAAATTCTGCAACACTTGTATCTGAGTCAAGCTTCTCTGCAGGAGAAACACATTCAACTTCAGTCAGCAACGGCTCTTCTTCCAGCACTGTCGCTAGTTCAGCAGGCGTATCTGAGCCAAGCCCATCATCTAGTGGCACGGTCACCCTTGTTCCGGGAATCACAATGACTCCTCCCGCGGTTACCTCTGCATCCGCCCTTCCCATGCTCTCTCTGACTGGCGACATGGCATGTTCCTATTCTTACTCAGCCAATCAATCCGCACCAAGCACTTACAATCTTCTCCCATGGTGCTGGTCCTGGCCTGTTGCGGAAAGCACCACGGTGATGTCTGGGGCAATCGTCGCGGCAAGTACAGAGAACTGCGTCTGCCCGTACTGTTGGCTTGCAGACCCGCTGTGTTACGCCCAAACGCCAACGGGCTCAAGCTGTGCGGATGGCTGGATTTGCTCTGTGACTACTTCTGCTGGTTCGTCAGGCGTTGTGCATTCGCTCCCTAGTGGCTTCACCTCCGATACCACAACACCAGAACCGTGGAGCATTATTACCGAGCGGGGCGTGTCCAGAACAAGCGGCAGTAGCAGTACTACGGACGTCACATGGAGTGCTACGCTTTCACAAAGCACTCGGAGCATCGAGGGTGGCTACGTTGTCTTTCCGTTCTGGTCCTGGAGTTGTATCGGCCCTCTGTGTCAGGGTGATTGTGGAGATGTCCTCGACTGGGCGGCGGCTATGGCTGGTTGCATTTTCGGGTTGGGATGCAAGAGACCGTGCAGTGATCAAGGCTCGAATGGATTTCCATTGCCACCGGTGCGTATTCCAAATCTCAACCTGTGCCTTTCTTGTGAGACTAATCGATGCAGATTCCCGTTCTTCCTCCAGTCCCTCCTGCGCCTGTGGCCTCTATGACCTTGCCTACGACCAGTTGTTCAGCAGCGCCCTGTACTGACAACAACAACAACCCTTCTGCAAGTCCATCAGCTACGGCGACCACAGATTCTACAAGCTCGTCGGGTACCTTAAGATCGTCTAGCTCATCGAGCTCATCGAGTTCGTCCAGCTCCTGCTCGTCTACGGCATTCTCTTCCTGCCTCGACATTTGCTCGACATTGAGCGCGAATGGTACAGTCTCTGGCACTCAATCGTGCACTCGGTCATGCACGACTGTTACACAGTGCTCTGGGACGGACACGTTCACGACTACTACTGTCAGCACCTCAACGACGGCTCCAGCCTGCACTGTCAGTCCCTGGTGGAATGACCCAGCGATATCTGCTCAGATTGCCTCGTGGATTACTCAGTTTCCACCAATCCCTGACAACGCAACGACGATATTCAGTACTTTCAGCTTCTCGTTAAACACCACGCAGACCATGGGCAACACCACTTCGAGCACTACCACGAGCACGTCGCATTCGACATCCTTGACATCTCATAGTTCGACGATCTCTAGCCCTCCTATCACAACGCCGACCCTTCCAAGCAGCCTGCGGGATTTCACAGTGCTAGTGACAGATGACGACGGCGACGTGTTCAGCGAAGTCTACTCTGGAGGTGTAATGGTTTCTTCTACACTGGTCTCGTCGAGGCTACTTCCCACATTGGGCCCAAGTGGACCGTGGACGTTTGGTTCATCGGGGGTCTCTTTGGTGAGCAGAACCACTTCGACTCCCCGGATCTCTGCAGGGACCGGAGCACATCCAACCCTCACAAGTATAGCCAGAAGCTACAGCGAGGTCTCGATCTTCACCTGTGACGGAGAGGCTGCGTTTGGTAGTGCAAGCTGTACAGATTCGTGGGGCCTCAAGACCGTGTCAACCACTGTTCCGAATGCAGACGAGCAGACTTCGTACTGTGCCCACTGGACTGCCTTCACCACCACTACAAGCCCAGCCAAGGCCGGGGTTGTGAACTGTGCCACCCCTGTCAGCGGACAAGCGACGAGTGCGGTCGCAACCGTCTGGAACTCGGGTCTCCCTTTCTCGCCATTCCAGTTGGACAAAGGCCCCATCAAGAAGTTTTGCAAGAAGCTGGTTGATCGCGACATCGTTCTTTACCAGGGACTTTCATTTGCCGCTACGTCAAGCTCAGAGGTGGTGTCCCCAGGTGAATGTGATCTGTTTCCATCGAACGGGGACTCGGCATTCGACTATGATCTGACCATTGGTCTCGCCTTCGACTACAACGGGTGTCCTTCGCCGACAGGCACGCCACTGGTCAACGGTGTCTCGATGAAGAAATATGGCCAGGACAAATGCGTCTCGACGTTCTGGAATCACATCACCAAAGAATGTAAGTTTTGCTCGACCCCAAAGACTTGTGGGAAGATGTGGTTTTTTTTTTTCTTTTTTTTTTTTTTACTGACTATCAACAGGCGATTTCTCAAATTCGGAAGCAAAGAAGAGAGGCCTCGGCCAGTGGACCAGGGTCGGTGGAATGTACTGGGCGGACTGCATGCGGTGGACGCTCATTGCTGCGAGGAAAGATCTGTCGCCGCCAGACACTGTTGATGGAGACTTGCAGTGATTCAGCCGGGGGTGATTCTGGTTTTTCTTTTCTTTTTCTCCTGCCATTGTTCCTGCTCGACACGATATCGACATCGAGGGAAGTGGTAAGGTGAGCTAGCTGGGTGCAGAAGACTGAGCGCTGGTCTTGGGCGATGTGAGGCTCTTGGATGGACACTGCTTTGCTTTGCCGAACCGAAGATAAAGCCATCACCCTGGATAGTCCTCCCTTGCATTGATTGACCCTTTCAACCTCGTTAGTATCAAGCCTTCGGAAGAGCCATGCTAGACCAACGACCACAGTTACGCAATGATCCATCTTCTGCCCATTCCACATCGAATCAACCAGTCGCTCCTCACTGGGAAGTTGTCTCTAGTTATAAAACTTTCCATCCCATTCTCCATGTCCTGCCGTGCATGATACATTTCGTCGGTCCTTTGCGCTTTGGTTCCTCTTTTCTCCGTGGAATGCACGTTGCTGGCTGCTGGCCGACTAACTAATTTACCGCCCGCCCTCATACCACATTCCTGAACCCCTTGATCCAAGTGCCAGGGTAGGTCCATAATACATACACATGCACATAGATACATACCTGGCATACATGCATTCACGCATATATGCCCTGCATACATACATACCTGGCATACCCTCGACAACACAAGTTTTCTATCGAAAAGTCTGTTGATTTAATTGTTGACGATCTGATTTCTCGTTTGTGAGCCGCGCGCGAGAACTACATCGTGCGTCAACGTGTTTCGATATACAATGCAATCTTTGAGCGGCCGTGCAGTTCTGAGCCGGTAGTTTGAATGGTGTCGGTATCGGTAGTGAAATCTGTATCCCTTAAACAAGGCAGTCCTAGACGTGGAGAAAACAGCGAAAAAAGATGCCGTCGTCGTGGTTGGAGGACGGGGAGCAGTTCCGTTACGACGGAATGGGCAGTTCGACACTCTATCAACTGGACGAAGGACGGGTTCCCACGGACGCGGACGGAGCTCAAGCACATGGCGAGCATGCTCTTTCAGGACCACCACCACATCAGCATCAGAGCCCGATCTACTCGGCGCAACGAGTATCAAGCCACGGCGGCGGCTTTGGGACATACAATCCCCACGACGCTTGGGGTGTCGGGACGCCGACATCGAATCAGCAACGCATGCAGACAGCTGGGATGGCAGCGGCTGCGGCCCAGTATCCCGACGACATCGACCGGTCGCGGTGGCACGAGGCCCAGCCGCCCAACGACCTCAGCTACAGCCCGACGTTTTCGGATTCGCCCATCATCTCGAGCGTCGGACATCGGGGCGCGAGGCGGTCCTCGGACCTCGACTCGCTTTTTGAAGACAGCAGCGATCTCGGAGACGACGAGGAGGGCCAGGCGTCGATGATGATGCATGCCGCCGCGGGGGTAGTACACGACAGTCCAGCTGGTGTCGTCGCCTTGCCTTCTGATCATAATCATCACGACGACGACGATAGTTTCGACCGGCCTTCTCCTTGCGGACTCAGTCAGCAGTTGCAGGGCCAGTTGAACGTCTCGTCGTCCGAGGCGGGGGTGGAACTGGTGCTGCCTGTGCGTGGTCAGGGTGAATATGACATGGATTTGGCAAGGAAGGGGGATGATGAAGAGAAGGAGACGGGGGAGGTATTGCGGAGTGAGACACCAGAAAAAAAAGGGACGGGCTGCAAGGTAGATGAAATACCACTCCACAACGTCTCGACACCGAACGATCAGCTTCAAGAACGACGACCATATCCAGAAACCAGATCTGGAAGCCTTCACAATTGCCCCTGCGGCTGCGCCACTGCAGAATGTGCCTGTCATCCCGCGTACTGCGAGTGTTCGGGCTGCGACCACACCACCGAGCAAGCGAGGCGGTTGCAGAGCGAGGCGGAGGGGAAATGGGGTTTCGAAGGACACGCCGACAACCAAGGCTGCGGCTGCGCGGGTTTGAAGAAGCCGTGTTCATGTCTCCCGGGCCTGTGTCGTTGCGAGACATGTGCCCAGCACTCTGGTGAGATGGTCCCGGAGCCTGTCAAGCGTTGCGCCTGCGCGGTCCAGGGTCGAAAGATCGACTGTCGGCCGGGCCAGTGTGCTTGTGCCGACTGTGATGTGCATGCGCTTGACGACGGCGTACCATCGCAGACTGAAGTATGGAAGCAGGGTGAATCCTTCGCTGGAGACCCGCAGAAGACGGTGTCAGAAGTCCAGGCGCTGCAGCCTTGCCGGTGTCCATCTGAAGGGACCTGCTGCTGTCCGGCTGGCCGATGCGGATGCCAGGAAGGCTGTTCGGCAGTCAGGGGAATAGAGGTGGACAATCAGCCGCATCCGCCTCCTCAGCCATGTCTCTGCAGAGATGGATACGACTGTTCCTGCTTTCCCGGAACTTGCACATGTCGCAAAGCAGAGACTGAAACGGACCAGAGGGCATTGCACGGAGAGAAAGAACCTGTCAAGGTGGTGCGAACGCCGACTTTGGTATCGCGCCAGGATTCTCGTCCGCTGCATCTCAAGCTGACAGAGTTGATTGAGAGCCCTAGACCCGTCTCGTCGTCGCCACGTGGGAGTGCAGGAGTATACAGTCGACAGGGGTCCGTACCCCCAACAATGCAACAGCCGACAACGCCAGCGTTCAGCCAGCGAAGCTCGATGCCCCCAAGTCGTCCAGACACTCCGCGCCCTCCTGTCGATTCCACGCCCTCGACACCCTACGCGGCAGATGTGCTTCAGGACTACGTCCAACAGAGCATCGAGCAGAGACTGCCACCGCCACCGCCACCACCAGTACCAGAACAAGATCAGGTCCGCCAGAGCGTCGAGCCCGAGCTACCCCCACCAAACTGGGCACGCGAGTTGACACCCGCATATGTTGGCCGTTCATTGACGCCATCTCCATTGTCTAGACGGGACAACACAGATGTCGAGATGAAAGATATTTCCCCAACACTCTTGCCAGGAGACTTTGGACGAGAACTGTCGCTCCCGCCGCCAACCTCTGAACCTATCCCTTCCCTTGATCAGCACCGCCCCGTCGTGTCGGCGCCCACAAGACCAGCTCCTCCTCCCATTCTAGATGACGGGGTTGTTATGATCAAGCAACCCAAGCGAGGCGAGCGGCGCAAGTCGGCCGTGCACGGCGCGAAAGTCGAGAAGCGCTCGGTGACGGGCTCGCCAGCGAAGCCAAGGAGTCGGAACGTGACCAGGAAGCCGACGGCGTCGGTGGGGAAGTTGGTGGAAAGGGCCAAAAAGAAGACGAGAGAAGCTGCTGCCGAGGCTGCAGAAGGAGGAGGAACGGGAGCAGAACAGGTCCAAGGGACTAGCACGCGGCATCCCTCGCTATCGGACAAGAAGGCGGCAAAACACGGAGGTAAAGTCGCCGCGGCGGTGGAGAGAATCGAACGACAGGTCAAACAGCAAGATGCAGAGCAGAGTCTCAAGCAGAAGGACGGGACGGCGGTGAGGAGGAGTCGGCGTGCGAATAAGGGGGTCCGGACTTCGTTTGGATATACTTGACGTGAGCCGTGAGCCGTGAGCACGGGTTTGAGATGTGCTGGTTTGGTTCTTCTATGATTTCATGCTCGATAGGCGAGGTATAAGCCGTATTCATTCTGGCAGTGTCAAAGGCGTTTGTGAGGGTTCGTGTTCACGACGGCGAGGTTCGGCTCTCTCTAATTTTTTTTTCGTGACACTTCTGCCTCCCTAGTCCCTACATAGCGCAGCTCCTTGACTTCTTTCTCTAACCTGCGAAGATTTTGTTTCTCTTCAAGCTTGCCCTTTAAAAGCCGTTAATTCATGGTTCCAACCCGCTCGCGAGCGGATAAGACGATTGTCCCCGCCGAGCAAAATACCTCTGGACAAGACTCAGCGGCGACTGCGTCACAAAGACGCCTTCCAGACAACACAGCAAATACGGCATTGACTGTACTGTAGAATCAGGAATGCGCAGTCGTCTGCAGCAGCGCGGTGGGTGTCGAGGTTCTCGCATGCGGGTTCCATGGTCATATCTTCTCCCTTGTTGCCCGGTATCGTAGACAAGACGGCAGCCTGCACGTCGATCAAGCTCATGAGCAGCTCGAGCATGAAGCTCCAGTAGCAGATCAGCACGCCGGCCTTTTGGCCGTCCTGGAACCGCAGCTGGTACTTTGGATCCTGCAGGTCCGGGACGCAGATTGGGTCCGTGTAGGAATGGGCGCTGTCCAAGACGGTGTCGGTGGTCCAGTAGATAGGCGCGGGCGAGTACGATTGCTTGAAGGTTTGGAACCATGCCTCGAGATCGGCTTTGAGGTGTGTAAAATCTGCGACAAGCTTCTGCGTGACGTTGGTCAATTCCCGGAAGCTGTCGCTTCGACCGTTCGAATCTCGAGGGTTCTGCACGAGCAACGGGATCAGCTCATCCGTCCGATGTAACAATTCAGGAAGTCTCAGGGCGAGATCGTGAAGGATTTCCCGCCTTGTCTTGGGCCGATAAAAGAATGGAGTGTATATCCACGTCGGTTCGGACAGGAAAATAGGACGCCGCCTCTGGAGAGCGACAAATATCTGGGGAATTCGTAAGTCTTGGTACAGAAATATAAGAGTGGCATTCGATATCGGGTAGGTCAATAACTGGCTTCTCCTTACAATTATACCCCGGAGTCCAGAGAAGGACTGGAGCAGATAAGGTGACTGATACACTTCGGGTCCGGATATCAGGAGGAGTTGGAGCATTCCCTCGTGATGGGCCAGGAAACCCGATCGCATCTCTCCCAGATCATTCACGTACTGACATTATTAGCCCAATCACCTAACATAATGTGAAAAGAAGGGCCATCGGGACCGGCCAAGGCTTTTACGTACCTCGAATAGCTGCAGAGCTGTAGAGAGGGCGAGGAAAAGCTGATAATGGCTTGTCTGGCCATGTGCCAGTCCCCGCTGGAACCGAGACCCGATGAAAAGTCGAAATTCTCGCACCACCGAGGTGTACGCCGCTCGGGCCATTTCCGTCAGCTTGGAGTCCTTGACCAAGAGACTCAGATACATGGTCAGCAGGCTGAAGATTGATTTGTCCATGATATGCCGCGCGGACTGTTGGGCGAGAGGAAGCAACGAACGGATGCATACTGCCACGCTCGAGCAATCCCCTTCGGTGGTTGACTGTGGTACTCGATCGCCGCTAAAGACTCCCACGTGCTCTCGTGGCTGAAAAGCGTCTAAAATGGACGAGTAGAAGAGTTCTACAGGCTTGGCCGTCAGGGATGTACCGGCTGTCAGCAGGGCCACTGGGCTGTTTTGTACAAGTTGCTGAAGAGCCTCCAGAGCCATGGGAGGAGCAGCAGCGGCTACAGTCTGTGTTTCGGGAACTAGATTGGGTTGAAAGGGGGCGTTTCGTCTCTGCATCGCAACCCTGAGAGCACCGCGGTGGGATTGTGTGCGCATGTTTTGTGCATTGCGGTGGACGTAGATGCGGGCATTGTTGACTCCGCTGCATTTGATCCCACTGGCGACACATCTGTGGCACTCTGGTTCCTCCAGACCGCACTACTCATTCGACATGAGAGCTTAGCCATGAATCCCGCGCCTGTGATAGACTTTGGGGCACAAAACGTCTTTACCTTTTTGCGTCTACGGCGGCATTCGTCACAGCGCCGTGATGTCCCAGGAGAACTGGTGGCCATTTAATATTTCCAAGAGACCAAAAGGGAAGGGGGAGCGACAGGAGAAAGATGGAACTTGCAATACCCTCTTCCTCCATGACTATTTTGCTTTTCATTATCAACAGGGGTAGGGTTTAGAGTACCACTGTTGAGTAATCATGAGGGACGAATGGTTTGATGGAGAAGCGGCAAAGGCAGAACCAGACCTGATGGAGAAGCTTGAGGTGGCGGAGGTTAAAGTCCTTCTAGTCTCGGCTGTCCCAACGCTAGGATCAATTGGGCAGTCGGCGCGCCCGGCAAGAACCAATGACAGTTTGCGAGGCTCTATTCCTCGTCGTGAACCAAGCTACTCTTCCTTCCCTCAACCCATCCGGAACTCTGCATACTTGGTCCACACAAGAACCTCTTCTCAGTAACGAGTAGCTACCTGTCACTCCAGGCTCTTGGCCCATTCTCCGACAGTCAAGATCCTATTGGCAAACAACGGCCAGATCAACGTGGTGGCAACGTCTTTCTGCTCTGTGCTGAACCCCGCTGTCCCATCGGAGCTGTGTCGACGCTTAGCCGTGATATTCCTCAGACAATTCGAAAGTAGGCAAATCAAAACTTACATCATGGTCAAGTTATATCCACTTTGATACAGTCAGCATTGTGCGTTGTTGCATTCCAGTCACCACATGGACAACTTACAGCTCATATCCGTATCGTGCGGTTGCCTCGACACATGTGTTTGTGACAAGACCCGCCAGGACCAAGTTGCGAATCCCTCGCTGTCGGAGTTGATAGTCGAGGTCCGTATTTTGGAAAGAGCTGTTGATTCAGTTGAGCCAAGGCAGGAAAACACCGAGGGTGACGGGTCTCAAACCTGGAATTGAGATGCTGTGAGACGACGACGTCCCCGTTCTCGGGATTTGGCTCCAACCCTTCATAAACCTGTGCACCCCACGAGCCCTTTTCAAAGACCAAGTTCTCTTTGAGGCCCGTCAGCGACCAATTCATCATCTGCCACCCTTGAAACGAGTATTTGTCCGTCTGGCAATGCAGGCAATAGTAGATGGGGATTTTGTTCTTGCGGGCCGTGGCGACCACCTCTTTCAAATGCTCAATGGTGCCGGTAGCGGCGATACTCTCTGCCAGGCGAGGGTTAAGTTTTCCTTTGGGATGGAGGAAGTCATTGTAAGGATCGATGAGGACAACAGCGGTTTGGCCTGCCATGGTAAAAGTAGACGACTCTCTGGGGATGTTGCTGTGAGTGCTTTAAGACTTGGTGAGCAGATCTTTCTTATGCTCCTCGAGAAAGGATTTTGGTGGCCTAAGTATCATTTCATCAGTGAGTAATCAGGCCTTCTGTATTGCTAATGAGGCTCTCAATATCGGTGAATCTCGTAATATTGGCACTTTGAGTTCATTCTTGAGAGCATAATCCTGTCCAATCGTCAATGATGCGGCTTGTTCTAATATGGTAGTCGACGCGCCAAAGATGGACCCGCCGCCTCCGCAGGCCACAAACCTCCATCGATAGACCCATATTCCCGAGCGCAATCGTCGGTTGTGCGCGTCTTACAAACCACTTCATACCCGCTGACAGACAGTCGACAACAAGGAGTTCGTCGTCAGGAAGCCCTGTAACTTCAGTAGAGCGGGTCGTCAAGTCACCTGGTCTCAGTCCCGCCTTTCACGACCGATAGCAATGAAAAGAGATTGTTCAATCTGTCCATGAATGATTGATACTCCAGTCTATGCTGATTACAGCACGAGAGTTTCGAGAGACTGAAAAGTTGTCCCCATACAATGGCGCAATAAGTATAACTGCACTGTTTCTCCCGTGAGTAAGGCATAAATGCTGAAAGAACAAGACTCGCTCCTTCGGGATCGTTTGATTCGTAGACGAGACTTCCCAGTCCACTGACGCTACTTCGCCGCCTCTCTGTCCACCTCATCTGCGAACTCTTTGAGATTCTGGAACCTCCATGCATATCCCACCAGCTTCTTTTCGAGTGCCATCTTGCTTTCTGCCTCCTTTCCCCATTTCGGCCCATCTCCAATCAGCCACACCGAGCTTAGGCCTAACCGCTTCGCAGGAGCTTGATCGTGGCCGAGACTCTGCGCAACATGAAGAATTTCCTCCTTCTTGACACCATATTGAGCGCAAAACCGGATCAGGGTTTCCAGTTTTGCGTCATCCGCGCGGGAGGGATCATCGCCAAAGTTCTCTGCAGTAAAGAGTTTCCACCAACCGACCTCTTGGAGGCGACTTGCCGCCGAGATTGAAGTAGTGTGCCAGGCAAATGAATCAATGTTGGAGAGAGCCACAAGCCTGTAGTGCCTACTTAGTCTCTTCAGAGCGTCAAGGGTTCCTGGGAACGTGGGCCACCCAGAAATGACAGCCACGCTTCCAAAGTGCTTGGCCTCATCTTCACTACTTTCCACGCCCAGTTCTTTGGCAATCCGTCTCCATATCTCGGCTAGGATCTTGTCGAACCGTTTGACAGGCTTCTCCAGCTTGATGGCGTCTTCTTGGCGCTGAAACAGCTTCAGAAACTCGATGGAGCCAACGGAAGCGGAGTCAGGGACGGTTGTCGTGAGAGGCGTTGGATCGAGAAAGGGCGACGATGGCGGGAGACGAGAGAGGAGGGGCTGAAACGAGTCTAGAATGTGCGCTTTATACTCGATCAGACTGCCGTACACGTCAAAGGAGAGGACTTTGTAATCGAGAAGCGGGAGTGGCGGGTTAGTTGGTTCGGGCATAGGCAGGGCCATGATTTCTTTCAGAGGAGGACAGTGGCTTGATTGATATGCCTAATCTCCTAAGTCTCGGGTGAGTGAGTTGGTGGTAATTCGAGGTGAGAAGATGGTGAGTGAGAGTGTCCGTTTCAAATGACAAGACGACACATTCAAAAGACGATGCCAAGCGCTGGCTGGGGCAAAACGTCATTCTGGTCTTGGCGATCACGGGGAACCAAAATCTAAAGCGGCATGGCGTGCATGGCTGCCGTTAGGCTCGGAAGGAGCGGCCCGCAATGTACCAGTAGCAAGTGCAAATCTGGGCTTCTATCATTTTCAACATTCGTCGCTTCAATTCATTTCGCATTGATTACAATCGAGGAAGACCTGAAACGACAGCCTACATGCATCATGCCCGGCTCATTCCCAGCAGCTTCTAGTCTACCCGGTCGGTAATACGTGGCTGAAATGGCCGCTGGAGCATCTATTGGCAGACCTCCTGGCTAAAGCCCAGATTCAAGCCAAAATGCTCCAAGCGAGGTGCAGGTGCTTCAGCTGTCCATCCACTCGTACAACTAGGACTGCTAGTCATGACCGAAAGAGCAATGAAATGGTCAAAGCAGCGAACAATGACTCAGATGATAGTCCAGGACCCTTGGTGATCAGGTCTAGTCCTCTTGCCACCTACTGCCTTGATACAGCTGAGAGTCGTGCTGTACAGGGTGCCGAGTACTTGTCAGAAGACTGACTTCGTCAAGGATCTGCCAACCATCATTAGAGTCGATCCCCCCTTTTCACAACAACTGACCCCACTAAGTTTCTCCGTTCGGCTTGAGTACAGAGAAAGTGCTTCAGGGTCTCAGCCACGTGATGGTGGCTGGCTGAGGCGTACCATGCGACAGTCCAGTCTTCAGCCTCAGGCCGCGAACTGAAGCTCCAGACCCGTGCTCAGCCAGCCTTGGGGCATTAATGTGCCCATGCATTTCACCTGATTTGCTCCCGTTACAGGAAACGCAATTCCCCTCATGCGTCTCGATTGAAATGGTGGATATGTCTGTGGCAATCTCTGGCTTGGAGCTGACACAGAGGACACGAATACCGCAAAAGAGATGGGCGAGCTCAGTCTGGAACCACCTAAAGCTTTTGAGCTCTCCGGGCCTTCTAAGGAAACAGGCAACTCTGAGCAAATGGTTGGTATAAATAACCCTCGTTCCTCTCCTCCATTGCATCTGTTCTCCAGCATCAACATATTGACAAACACTCTGTATCACCACCGACGTTTCTTTGCCCTCTCTTGGTGTTTCTTTTTCAATCCTACGTCGCAATACGTTGCTCCGTCCTGGACATTATGGCTTCCATCATCGTACCCAATGCTCTTCCTACCACTGCCGAAGGTTCCACCTTTGACAAGCTACCCAAAGTTGAGGTCAAGTCTGTGGTGGAGGATCCTTTACTGGCAAGTCGGCCCAAGTTTGAACTGATCCCGCAAGTTTCCATCAAGTCCGTTCCCGAAGAAAACAAGTCAGAGGCGTCCGATGATGCTGTCAACACCCTGATCTGCGCCCATGCCCCCGTCCGCTCAACTTATCATAGGGAGGCGGTCTCCTTCCGTTCGGATATCCAGGTGCATCTCAGATCGGTACAGAAGACCAGCGACGATATGCTCTTCAGAATCCGGGAGATAGTCGAAAGTCTCGACAAAGCAACCCATGAGAAGCTCCTCCACAAAGAGCAGTACGACAGTTTGTGCCAGAGATACAAGGATATCACCGCCCGGTTTGAGATCTCCACTCAAGAGTGCGTCACGTTGAGGACCAGACTCTACGAGATGTCAAAAGCACGAGATCGTGCCGAGATCGAGCTCGAAGCTTTGAGTGGTCACCTCCTCGAGAAGGAGCACGAATGTATGGAACTCAAGGAAGAGACGAGCGTTCTCCACAAACAGATCGTGTCCATGGAGGCAACGTTGGTGGACATCACTTCGAGACTGGTTGAGGCTGAAGCCACCTCCAGGATCCGCCTTGAGGAGTACAACGCCGCCGTCAAAGAGCTCGAGATCCTCAAAGCTTCCATGTCTGTCCTCTTCACAGAGAAGGAGACCTTGGCCACAGAGCTCGCAGTCACCCGCATGCAGTTCAAGGAAGTTTCCTCCAAACTTGAAGTGATCAAACAGAAATTCATCAGCATCGAGCACAAGTGTGGCTCTCTGGAAACGGAGCTCAAGTCGATCAAGGAAGAACTCATCAAGGCGAAAGAGGCAAGAGACAAGGCCATTGCAGAGCGCAAGGAGGCTATTCACGAACGTGACTTGGCGGTCCAACGTATGGACGAGGCGATCGAGGACCGGAATGGTGCTATTCGAGCGCGGGACAGTGCCATCTTCGACTACCAGAGTGCAAAGACCGAGCTGGTCCGGGACCAAACCTTGCTCAAGGACTGCCAGCTGAACTTGGAAACGCTGCAATATCGATTCGAAATTGTCATCAAAGAGCGCGACTACGCTGTGCATAGCCAATCCAGCCTCGAGCATTTTCGGGACGAGCTTGTCGAGCAACTGAAGGAGGCAGACGGCCGGGCTCATCACTTCAAGATCGAGTTTGAGAAGGCTGTCGAGGCTAAGCAGCATGCCGAGAATGACGTCCAAAGCACTCTGAAGAAGATGGAAGACTTACGCCATGACAAGGACGTCCTTGTGATCGAGCGAGAGCAGCTCTACATTCAGCTGAAGGAGTCCGAGGCTCGACGAAACGAAGCAATTGCCAAGGAGTCCAAGGCATTTGAAGAACTCCTTGAAGCCACGCAAGAGTGTGCAAGGATGACGAAGAAGTATGAGGACATGGAAGATGAGTACCAGAAGGCCGACAAAGAGCGCGCTATCCTGGACGAGAAACTCAAGATCATTGAAGCCGAGCTCAAAGCTGCCAAGGTGAAAGAGGCGCTGATGGCTGATCAGCTTGAGCACGCCAAGGCAGACGAGATCAAGGCACTCCGGGAGCGGAATGAGATGGCTGAAAAGCTATCGGTGTCCGAAGAGCTCAACAAGACACTGAAGCAACAAAAAGACGAGATGGAGAGGCAGCTTCAGGCCAAGATCAAAGACCTGGAAGGCAAGTTGGTGCAGAGCGGAGATGAGAGCACTACGCTCAAAGCCAAGATTGACACACTCGAGAAGGCTTGCACCAAGGCTGAAGGCGAGAGAGACAACAAGATCAGAGAGCTCGAAGACACGAAGCACCAGGCTGCCGACCAAAAGAACAAACTTGACAAAGAGATTGTGGATCTCAAGAACAACGTCGCAGAAGCCCAGAAGAAGGAGCGCGAGACTGATAAGATGCTGCAAGAGAAGGCCGGCGAGCTTGAGAAAGAGAAGGGAGCCATGAAGAACTATGCTGGCAACGGTGAAGTGAGAGGCAACATCTGGGTGAAGAACATCAATTACGGCACAATGCGTCTCCCGGACAGCCACAAGGCATACAAGATGGCTCTTGACC